ATACATGAAACGGACACAAAGAATACCCAGTATAATAGTCCACTGCTGGACATAGGCCTCTCCTTAGAAAGGAGGTTTTGGCCTACTATTTTATACCTTTTATATTTACTTTTATCCCTTTTCATAAATTTAAAACGTAAAACATCGTTTTCTGAAAAGGGTAATATGATAATACAAAATTGTTAATCATAGCTAATTCAGATAATATACGACAATTATTCTATATGTGTAGACAAATGAACATTTATATGAAAATATATGTGAATTTATGCAGTTTTAATCACTTGGCGCGGGTTTTCATTTATTATGTGACGTCATGCACGTCAGCCATCTTGATTTGCTTAGGGTTAGTACAGATGGAATTGTATAATACTTACGTATTTTACTTGAGGAGCTTGTTAAACGTTATGTACCTACTACATTTTTTGCCCTAAAAGCCAGCTAAACCTCTAGTATTCAACGCTTATAAAAGGACATTGCGTTATATCATTCAGTCTGTATTATGAAGTCAATTATCAATTATATATTTCTGAATTTTTACTAGTCCACTGCTGGACATAGGCCTCTCCTTAGGAAGGAGGTTTTGGCCTACTATACCACGCTGGCCAGACGGGTTGGTATAGGGTTTGTTTCAAGTTTTCCTTCTCTTGCAGTGCTGTTGTCCTGCGTAGTTTGCTCCCTTAGTCGCCTCTTACGACACCCACGGGATGAATAGGGGTGGTGACACTCTGTATTCTTAATCCGTCACCACCACACTTGTTGCAATACGTGTACCTATTTACTGCGAACTAAATGTCAGTGATAATGTTACTCAGAAACACACAGCACAGCACAGTTTTGTCAAATTCGTTTTTATTTAATGGTTTCTTATAACAAACAAAATAAATTGACGATTTTCGTGTTGACTATAAAAGTTATTTATTACGTTGTCAATTACAGCTTCCAATTAATTTTATATTGTACAATATTTATATCTTATGTGTCTAAGTTATTATGAAGATAAAAATATAAAATTGACAAAGATTATTTGATGTTCATAACAGATTGTCTAACATGAAAAACAAGACAACAGTAGACTTTGTATTGTCAAAGAAGTATTAACAGTATTAAATAAAATATTATGATGATGATATTAAGATAGTGAATTAATGTTTTTTTTTATTTTTTATATTAACTCAGATTCTTAACAAAATCCCATAAATCAAGAACAGTTTGGAATTAACCAATTTTTTTTTTGGAGTGTCGATCGGGGGTAAACAATTAATAAAGAAAAATAGTCGATTTTGTTTACAAGGAAGTCGTAATCGATTTAAAAATACTAAACTTGTAAATGCTAATTATATTACCCACGTTTAACATATTCAATATAGATTCTGATAGTTTATCACAACAAAGTTTCAAGTTACAAGTCTAGTAGGAATCCTCTTTCATTTATTTATTAGTCTAAGTTTCGAATTTAGTTTTTTTTTTTATTGCAAATATAATCAAATATTTTTTTTAAACTACAAGCTAAAAGTTTTTATACTGATTGACTATAGCTAATTCCGATTTTTTAATCGGACTGCCAATAAACATACTTAAATATTTCTACACATACATATTATAGAAAAATTACCCCCAAAATATTGTAATGATCATCAAAGGACTATTTGTCCTCGGTGGGAGTCGAACCTAAGACCTCCGGTTTAGCAGTCAAGGTCAACGACGAAACCAACAAGCCCGCATACAATAAATCACATAACTTGCTTCATCTTGTTGACACTACTCCGTTATCTCTCTGGTTGTACAATAAATAGTCGCTTGGATCTGTTCCATCATTCGCTTCCGACTATCCTAGAGATAAATCGCTTATCTGTCAACTAACTACACTTTACTCAGACAACATTGTTTATTATTTCACCCTGTGATTTACAAAACAACATGACACGTTTCATAAAATATGCTATGCTTTTCCCATGAATCTTCGCCATAATATATTACGTCTAACGTTGTGAACTCGGCACAAATTTGTATTTATCGCTCTCCTTTCATGTTGGCAGATTAAAATAGTTCTTAGGTAACAATACATCTACATAGCTATCCATGCAAGTAATCTCTTTGAGTTTTTTTATTCACAAAAGTCTCCATAACAATAAAATGCTATTAAATATGGAATAACTATAGTCCCCATCCTATTACATCGCTAACAAGTAATACTCGTAAAAAGCCACAATAAAAAACTGAACCCCAACGTTGTCACGACTCGTATCACAATGAGTATCGTTTAAGCTTTTAATATTCTAAACGCAAACTAACATTATCAAATGAACCGATCGCTCATTCGGTCACGCATTGTCAAATTTCCTGTCATTGGCACGTCATCGTCACAAATAGGTACCGTATTGCATTTGAGGGTTACAATTCGACACAAAAAAAAACATACCAATAAAATCAGTTGTATTGACATTAGAGTTTTAAATAGAGAAGCGATGCATCATTCATAAATAAACTAAATCCAGGTACAAAAACAGAAAATTAACATAATAACGAGGATGGTTTGAATCGATTTTGACAATACATCGTGTTGAAGGGTAACATAACCCTCTAATTTGATGTGTGGGTAATAATACCCCGATATGCATTATTCATCTGCTGATAATATGTTAATTTACTCCACCTTATGTTTATGTTAATCGTAATTGGTTATTTCACTGCACGGATTATAGCGCTGTAAGGCATCAATCTTTGCTACGCATCTGTCAAAGTTAATCCCGCCGTGAGAGGTCATTTATATTGAAACATGTAGTGATATTTCAAGGCGTGTTCTGATGGCATTCATGAAATCTACATCATTTTCTCAATTAATATCTTAAGATTTATTCATCTCATTTTTTATCTTTTTATGTGACAATTAATCATGAAATATACAACGCGAGGGACATTAATTTTTTGCATTTTTGGGACACACCCACTTTCTGAGGGTTAATTGGCCATAAGTCGAAACATTATTTACAATTGTATGAAGGTTGGTTTGCTTAGGATTTGTTCACAGATTTCTTCATCAAAAGTTACCTAGGCAAACTATTTCTGATAGTTTCAATTTCTTTTAAAAGTCATTGTAAATATTTTCACGATAAAAAAATACGCAGATTTATTAATTTAAGAACCCTAAATTAAATTTTAACTTTAAAGAAAAACGAAATCTGTTTCAGGGCAAAACTTTCAACGCAAACCTATATAGTTCCCTACGCGTATACTAGATGGCGCTAGTATGATCAAACTAAAACTGCGAGACGAAATTGTGTCAAAGTCGTGTCATATCAAAAAGGTGTGTGAATAATATAAATGATTTATTAAAAGGAACCAGAGCGGATATAAATGTCACTATCAATCAATTTTAATAGTTTTTGTTAATTACGAAACCGCTATCAAACGTTGAGTGATTTATTATATTTATTATCATAATCATGGACTGTGTCAATTCGATTCTAGCTCAGTTTATTTGATTAATGTTTATTTATTTCATTTCTATTCAGATATGAGTGTTTACATAAATGAAATGTATGCGCCAGTGCGTCGCAGATTATATTTCGTGTAAATGTAAAAACTTTTATTCAGTTGCATAAAATATAATCATCTAGTCTATACAAAAAAATAGACTGTTATAATGAAATACACTTACTTCTAGGAAATATTTCCAAATGTATATGTATTAGACCATGGATTATTTATATGAATAAGTTGGCAAAATTATGTAAAAGTGAATATATCAAGATATCAATCTCATAACGTATGCAATTTAATTAAAATTCATATTCAGTCAGATTTTTATCATCAAGACACATATTATTAAAAATGAGCACATTTATATGTAAAACAAAATTATAATAGTTTATAAGAATTTTATCATTCGCCAAAAGTATTAAAATGTTTATCGTGAAACCATAAGTATAATATGACATGGATTAAGGAATATTAAATGATTTTTTGAATAAAAATAATATTTCTCTATTTAGTATGTATTATTATAGATACCAGCACTGTCTTCTATCTATCATGCATCTAGATAATTAACATAATATATATTTTGTAAATTTAGCCGTAAGCTCCCCAAATATAATAAAAATAAAATATTTCTAATATCATTTAGAAAGTACATTTAAAAAAAATTAATATAACTCGTGTTTCTTTTTTATTCACCTCTGTTTCATGCTACTCTATACTCCTACCAATTACGCCTCTTGACAGCTGAATTTCCAACATGACGTGGGCCTAATCAAAATAGTATTTACTAAAAAAAAACTTGACATTAAAGCTGACAGCTCACGGTTCTGTTATTAATGACGGCGTACACCGACCTCTTTCGTGTATTTTCAATATAATAAGTTATTTTGTTAGTTTATACGCTATGGGTGGTGTGATCGCGCGATTGCCGTCATGTTCCTAAGACAGATTGACGGTTTTAATGCTTGGTCAGAACATTAATTAGGCGATGAAATATTGTATATAAGGTTGATTGCGGTTTTTTACATACTGTAAAATAATTATCTAACGGAGTTGATTGTAAAACTTATAACATTCGTGTTTCAAAATACCGTGTACAATTTATTTATGTCCCTAATCGAAAAAAAATGACATATTTCAATATGAGTACATAATAATTTATAAATAATAACTAGTCAACCAATTAAGTTTGTGGGTTGTATCATATTTATATCATAGATGATGACGTATGAAAATAAAAGATGTTTTTAATGATTGGTAGGTAGATATTATATTTGAAATAATTCATTTAATAATAAACATAGAGATTATTTACACAGAACATTTGGCTGTACAGTCCGCGACTTACGTCGCTACGCGCCGTCGGCATTTCCACTTAATATAAATATTATATTTAGATTGCACTAATCACTAAGTTTGTCATGGCGGGTCGCGCCTAAGAACTTGAATAGTCTATCGATATCACAGAAGAAACTTGGACAACATATTTAAAAGTCCTGATTTGCACTTAACTCCGTTTATTGATGGACGGCGGCAGCGCCAAGCCTTTGCCCGTACATGGCATAAGGTGAGTAGAATGGTCCAAGTGCAGGGTTGAAAGCTCCATAAGGTGAACCCCCTAAACTCGCAGGAAGACCAGCCTTTGAGTAAGGATGGTACCGACTAGCTGACAAGGGGCTAAGAGGTGCCGTCGGGTAGGCGCTGCGCAAACCCGCTGTAGTAAATAATGGGTTTAGAGAGTTCAACAGCGATGCCTGCGTTGATGCAACTGATGCAGGTGTGGAACCGTCAGCTGTGTGACTTCTTAAGTGTTGCAGGAGTTCTTCAGAATTTCCAAATCTCTTCCCACAATATGATTCGCCAACAATCCAATTGCAAACATAAGGGCGACTCAATTGTGGATATGGTAAACCACCGGCTGCGGCCCCTTGCTGAGATAGCGCCATTGCCATTGCTAAATTGTATTTTTGATGTTCACATTGTGTACAACCGGCGGGACATGATCCATTGTTCATAAGTAAATGATGATTGTTAACTGAAAACTGGCATCCAGTGCAGTAGGGGTCCTTACACACCGGAATAAGAGTTTCCCCACCAGCAGGCGTTTTCACTCTTGCGTAGCCAAGGTAGGGATTAGGCGACGATCCTGGGAAGCCAGCAGCGGCTGCTAACATCGCAGCATGATGAGCGCTGAATGGAGCACCCGCGTAAGGTGGTCTGAACGCCGGGTTGGCATGTTGTTCCATTCCCGGCGGACAACAAAGTCCGGCGAGTGGATTAAATCCAGGTAAACCAGGTAGATTTTTAAATGCTCCGAGGTGATCTTTGCCATGTCCTAGAACTTCTAATCCAGAACGGATGATTGGACTGGTACCGGAAGAACCAGCTGGAGAGGTTTTTGATTCATTCGGGCTGGATTTTCCATGTTCTGTTGTGGGCGGTGTAGATTTTCGTCCAGGTGTACTCTTTCCAGATTTTTTATCGTCCGAGCTATCGGAACTAGCTTTAGATGAGGGCCGTTCCTCGGGTTTCTTTGATACAACATTTGTTTCATACGGTTTGAAAGCCAAATGTTTATTGTCGGGTGTAGAACGTGGTTTATCGGGTTTGGTCACGGTATTTGTTGGTGAAGAACGACTAATTACATCACTGTTAACACTATTCACTTTTTTCTTGTCAATCGGCGGCAGCAGTGGTTTAGCTGGAGATGTATCCACACCAATCTGACTGCATGTTTGCGCTAAAAGCGCAAGCGGGCTTTTCTTCGAGTCCAACTGCAACAAAAGAAACAAAAGCTTAGTATAAATGTTGTAAAGTGTGTAGTATTTATGCTTTTATATGTAAAAGATATTTTTTATTTTTTTTTAAATAAAACAAAATATATTTTAAAATAATATTTATACTTACAGAGGACGAAAGAGGAGTCATGTAATCAGGTTGTAAATATTGATTGGGATTAGTAGTCATCATTCCACCGTCTTCAAGCACCACCATTTGGGATATAACTTTTACGATCACTTATAAACTTCACAGTGCGGTCACGATACGTCTCTGACAACAACTACTCTGTGCTACCGGAACGCGGAATTTAAACTGTTACACGTGCGTTCGAAGCAGCGGTCGAGTCAACTCTGAGAGACTGGACCCCACCAGCGCTCAACGCTCCGCCGTTCCCTCACCCCGCACCGTGCGAGAGCGGGATAAATATATCTTGAGGCAACGTTAGAGAGAGCACGCTATGTCTCACCACTGCAGCGCTCGGTTATAAAAAATAAAGCGGAAACGACACATAGCTGCATTGCGGTAGGGGAAAAAGGAAAGGCGGTATGGTCGGCAGCCGGGTGCGGATTGAGACGTGCGATGGTGTTGGTGGCTCGCCACCCATGACGGGCAGCGCTTTGTGCTGCCGCCGCGAGCGTGACTGCGTCTACCTGAGCGGTTCGGCGTTCGAAGAGAGAACGCGCGCCCGCCCGCACCACTGCGCTCCACAGCTTTTTGTTTCACGCCACTTTTATTACGCCCCCGAGAACAGCGCAGCTACATTCTTTCCTGGCGTCATCGTACTTTACTGCTGACACATTCGAAACTACTTACTCTTTTACGATCACGCTTTGTTCTGGGATGCATCGGTGCCGGTTCAAAGGGGGAAAATTGATCTGTTCCCCGACACGGGGGCTTTCCGTGAAACTGTTTGATGTGTCAACACACAAGCTAACTTTAGCCGTTTACATGTAAATCGATAAACATTGAGCGTAACAAAAGGCGATATTTCAGTTTATCGACATCGCTAAGTCTATAACGTTAATGTTAATCCGACACTAAAACCTGTCAAACGGGCAAGTCGGACCCTCCGTTGCGATCAAATTAAATATGTCAATTTGGGAACCCATATCAACAGCTGCGAGCGACGGCGGCGGGGCCCTTTAGAAATATTGCTTATTGTGTCCAAACAAAGATACTAAGTATAACGTATGGGCGGACGACAGAGATCGTAAATAACCCCGCGGGCTGTAATATATTTGACAGTGCGCGGACATGCGAAACAAAAAACATGTTTATTGCGAGATCGGACCGGTGTCGGCGCTCGCCGCTCGGCCGATGTTGTTCTATAAATTAGGCACGCCGCGTTTTAGTGTTTGTTTAGGAGTGTTGAGTCGGGCCGAACAACTTGCGGCTAGGTTTTACTTGCGCCGCTTGAATGCACATGATTATAACAGAGTGTTACGATGCTTGTTCGGACCTCTGATATTTTGAACAGCTTCGTATTATTCTAACACTGTTTATTACTTACTTTTGGTAGACTATGAAATTCAAGATTAAAATAATATTATTCTGCGGCTTACACAGGAATTGAATTACTTTTAAAAGAAATTCTCAAAGACGTAAAAAATCCTAAGATTCAAATTATACACTAACAAAATGTGAAACCAGATTAATGGAAAAAGAACCAAATCCGCCTACCACAATTCCCGAACCTTTAAATTTCAATAACAAAGCACTGAACGCACGATCAGTTACCAAAGAGATTTAGATAACAATTTCCTGGCCCAATTACCGGTGCGTTGAAATCCAGCCAAGTGTAAACAACCACAATTATGATGACGATATCACGGAAAAAGTTTACACAGACGGGAATAAATTAAACCACAATATACTTATTGCTTTCATTCTACCAGAAAATTATAAATTAAAACGAATTACAGGTATTTTTGAATTAGAAGATTCGGTCAAAAGATTGATAGTCTATTAAACTCGAAATCTAACGAAGTAATGTTTAGTTAAAATCTCGGTAGAGGGCGTTGTCCCCTCTACGTGAATTACGTTATGATTTCGCTCACACTAGTACAATAAGATAAACAATGGTACTAATTAGTTTGTACGAAAACTTTCTAAACTAAAGTAAAAATCACTAAAAATTAGTTAAGTCCTGTCAAGTACTACGTTTTTAGAAAACTAAACATTGTTTGGCAGGACTAAACTAATTTTTAGTGATTTTTAGTTTAGTTTAGAGAGTTTTAAAACAACAGAATTAGCACCAATGTACTATTTTGAGAAAGCCTTTTTTTATCCTAGAGCAAGTGACGAGTTGTAGTTTTATTCACTGGATTTAGTTACACCTCCCAGTACAAATTGTGTTGTTCCCAGTTTAATACCAGGCAACTCTTGATATTTATGACAGTCAGACTAAGTTAGCCGTGAAGCTACTTGCCTCTTCTAATACTACAAAGAAGAATAAACACACTTTATCGTAAGCTAAAATTGTAATAATAAATTATGAGCACTAATCATACTAAGGATTACTACATTCTAACTTCAGATACTTAATGCTGGATAATATTTACAATAGATGGTAATATAATGCAACATTCAACATGTAATATAAAGCATTGCACTTTAAACGTTTCATAAATAACGTTACGTTTAAATTGTTGCACAAATAAGAACTACTCCGTCAATCAATTTCAAATTGTTTGAATTAATTGACCACAGAATGATTATACGAGTTCTAAGATATATTAAAGTGTCTGTGCTATTTTATAACTTACTTATTTATTTGGATTACCAAGAATTTATACACATAACTATTATAATAAATGTAATAAATTACAAATAAAATACTTAAGTTATTTTAGAATAAAATTTTCGTGAGGTATTGTCACATACATTAAAGATGCTCAAATACTATCTATTAGGAAACAGCTGGTTTTTTTTTTACTTTGGAAAGATCAGTAAGTCCTAGTAGTACTATGACCATTTTATGTTACAAATTAATTAATTCATCATCATTCGTCTCACACACGGCACATCCCAAACTAGGTAGAGCCTGTACAATGGTAACCAGACCATTAGACCATTTTTAAATACATATGTACATATTATAAAAAAAAATTCGCCTAGACACAGAACAAATGAACGTGCTCATCACACAATCATTTGTCTTGGGTAGGAATTGGACCCACGACTTTTGGCTTATCACCAACCACCAGACCACCAGGCTCTTCCCCTCTCAGAATACCTTACAATTATATAAATATTACCTTTAATAAAGTAATTTTAAAACATCAACGTCATATATTTAATCTAAATGAAGTTTGAAATGGCTTGCACACGAAGCCGCTTAACATTTAATAGCACAATCAACAAGCTTGTTCTACTGTGAAATCTCCAAGATAGACAGTCATTGTACGCAACGGATGCGGCAACATCAAAGTAAGGACCGCCAGTACCAAATAACTGTTTACCGACGGTGTAAAAACGTTGACGGGTCGCACACGGAGGCTACGGTTTCAATGCCTTTGATGTTCTGTTATGATCAAGAACATGTTAATGAGTCATCAATATACTAAAAGTGCTTTTAAATGATTTTTGTGCTTGTGTTAACGATACGATTCATGTTTGATGTTGGTGGAACATTGTCTGGAGGTAATGGGTTTGGTTTAAATTAAATTAGATCACGTACTGGATGATACCTAGATAGATTCTTTTTTGAATATTGCATAAGAACTTTTATCATATTTTTTTTCTATGATCGACAACTCCCGCAGTAGGAATATATCCCCCGTCACGGGGGCTTCACAAACATACATGAAACGGAATCAAAGAATACCCAGACTCAAAAAATCAATTTATGGATCACACAAATTGTTGTCCCCTGTGGGGGTGAAATCAGTCAATCATTATAAGATTGAAATCATAATGAAAGTTTTGTAAATGATTTTAGTGAAATCGTGCTCACAAGTTTATTGCTCTTATCTATAAAATTTATGTAATAAATTTATAAAAATATTGATTTAGAAATTTTATTGGGAATTTGCAATTACTTATAAAATAAATTTTGTATATTAGCTTGTGATTTCTTTTTGTGCTTCTACTGAGGCTACGAAATAGCAATCGACAGACAAAAAACCTCAAGAAATCTTTTTTATATTTATTTAAATTGTAATAATTAAGACAACATTTGTTAACCAGAAGGACAAATTCATGTCATTGGCAAACAGCCTTTTAATCAAAATTATAGCTAAGTACCTATAAGACACTAGACTTCGATCATAAATAAAAATTGCAGCAATATTAAGACATGGTGTGCTCCACATTAAATCACACTTCTCATTGAAATGGTCCTACATCTTACTTAACAGTCTTTTAAAACATATTTACAATAGTTTTATTGGTGCCAATAAACCAACAGTAACACATTTTGTTTCCAATACAATGCAATATAAATATTGTACTCATAAAAAGGACAAAGAGTATTGAGACCTCCCATCGACAAGTTGTTAAGAACTATGCGGCTCGTAAAACAGTTCCACCCAACCCCTAATTGCGATATTTATTGGCATTATAAACGCTTATCTTTACATTTAAACTTACTATAAGACAAAGATTTCAAACCTTTATCTAAGCAATAACATTTAAATAAGTTAACCTATATTTTGTACAATGATATCGGTGAATAAATACGTAAAATTGATAATTTAAATTATTGGTCTGAAACACCTAAAATCTTTATTTCTCTCTTTATTGTACACACTTTAAAAGATAATAAATCCTTTTGAAAAATAAGTTGACCCGACTTTAATCAAACAATACTAACAAATAGCACTATAATAAAATTTGCTGTCATTTTTTGAAGAGTTGCGATGACTGTTTCCGAAACTCATCATCAGACCTATACGAAATTTAAATGGGACCATTTCGGAATGACCTCTTTCGAACAAAAAAAGAATTTTGAAAATCCGTCTATGTATGTATGACGGAGTTATGCCCGAACTTATATAAAAAATGTAAACATCCGAATTGATAACCTCCCAATTTTTTTTAAGTCGGTAAACAAAAAGAGTTAGAGTGAGTTAGAATAGACGTAATAAGCATAGTTCTGTCTTATTATAATAAACTTATTATAGTATTTTTTTTTTGTGTTCGTGTGCTGACGGATTAAGGATACAGAATGTCAACACACCTATTCATCCCGTGGGTATCGTAAGAGCCGACTAAGGAAGCAAACTACGCAGGACAACAGCATTGCAAAAATAACAACTTGACACAAACCCTAAACCAACCCGTCTGACCAGCGTGGTATAGTAGGCTAAAAGCTCCTTTATAAAGAGAGGCCTATGTCCAGCAGTGGACTATTAAAAGTGTGGATGTGATATGATGATGATGCAAATTTTTTTAGGCATATACTAGCAATGAAGAGACGGATCACCTAATGGTAAGTGGGTCACAAGTGCAATGCCACCTTTGAGCCTAGCCCCTTCCGATATTCAGGGGGAGGGAGATGGGTAGCGGCGAGCGCGTTGCGAAGCGCGCTCGCTTCCAGGGAGCAGACGGAACACGGGTTTCCCACACGGGGGGGTGTCTTCTACTCGTCTGTAGATGGCCCGAGGTATGTCGGGGCACCAGGGACTTCCTTTCTAGGGTATACCTGGTTCCCCGGCTATCAGAACCCGAGACGGCGTGCGGCTTTAGTCGGTTCGAGTCCGACATGCCACCGCAGGTGGTATCCGTGGGAATTTCCGCACGGATAAAAAAAAAGTGGGGGAGGGAGATGGATTGGGCTCCGGCAACTCGATGG